AACCCATCCTCATAGTTCAGTTTGGATACAAGTAAACAGGTTTACAGGGAAAATTAAGCAGGCATCATACAGAGGAAAGATGCAATGGTTTTAAATGTTAAAAACTCAAATCTGCCTAAAATATTCTGATATACTATTGATTATGAATTATAGAGTTTAATGTGTGTGAAAGACATGATTACAGATTCTAGAACTGAGGAATTCATGCTGAGTTTGGTAATCTTGAAGCTGAATACAGATCATAACAGACGTTTGAGAGGGGTGTGATGATAAACTGTTGTTTGACACTGGCCTGGATATAAATATGTAGAAAACATCTTCACTGCTTTGGGAAACTGTTAAAATGTACTGTGTCTTTTGTATTTGTGTGTATTTTGCACAGTACAAGCTGCCTTTACTGCAGTTGTTGAGAAAGATGTTGATGGTACTGCATGAATCTATGTTCAGACTTTCATTATGATTTGTTTGAAGGTTTATGCAGACCAACTTTTCAGAGTCTTCAGACAGATCTGTATCAGATTATTAAAACTATGTGAAGGACATTCCAGCTTTGAATGCACCTCAATAATCTTTTTCCAATAATAAAAGCATTAGTAACTTAAATACTTATGTATTAGGACACCTGGATAACAGCACAAACCCACTGCTGGACCCCCTGCAGATTGCATGAGAGGCCCGGCCTGATATTCAAACTATGTGCTCTGCATCAGGTATTATGACACCTAAAAGACATAGCGAACTCCATGTTGGACCCCCTACAGTTTGAATATCAGGCCAACAGGTCTGGCCTCATATGCAATCTGCAGGGGGTCCAGCAGTGGGTTTGTGCTGTTTTCCAGGTGTCCTAATACCAATCTCTCTAAGTATTTTATGTACTATTGGTTTTATTATTGGAAAAAGAGATTATTGAGGAGCATTTGAAGCAGGAATGTCCTTCACATAGCTTCAATAATCTGATACAGATCTGTATGAAGACTCCGAAAAGTTGGTCTGTACAAACCTTCAGACAAATGATAATGAACGTCTGAACATAGATTCATGTGGTACCATCAACATCTTCAACAACTGCAATAAAGGCTTGTACTGTGCAAAATACACACAAATGCAAAGAGACAGTGCATTTTAACAGTTTCCCAAAGCAGTGAAGATGTTTTCTACATATTTATATCCAGGCCAGTGTCAAACAACAGTTTGTCATATCCCTCTCAAACTTCTGTTATGATCTGTATTCAGCTTCAAGATTACCAAACTCAGCATGAATTCCTCAGTTCTAGAATCTGTAATCATGTTTTTCACACACAATAAACTCTATTAGTCACAATCAATAGTATATCAGTGTCACGGATTCTCCCTTTGTCCCTCTGAGTGTCTGTTTCTTCACTTCTGTTGTAGCCATGTGCCTTTTGTTTTCTTTTACCATGTGCTTTTGTTGTTGTTCTGTGTCTCCTCCCTGGTCCTGCCCCCTTGTTATCTGTTCCACCTGTCTGTGCTCCGCCCCTCATTAGTCCCAGGTGTGTCTCATTTCCCCTCTGTGTATTTATACCCCTGTGTTTGTTCAGTCTTCGTCTTGCATTGTGGATGTAACCTTGTCTCTTGTTAGCTTGTCGTGCTTGTAGTTTGGTTTTGTTTTGTTTTCATTATGGAGTCTCATTTCAATAAAAACTCGCATTTGCATCCCGCCTCCATGCCTCAAACGTTACAGAATGCAAGACCACACAGGGAAGCAGCGAGTTTGCAGGACCTTATCAAGGAAAATGAGGTCAGACTTCAGGAGAGCTACCATCTGCTCTGTCGGCTTCAGCTGTTGCTCCCTAGTAAGGAGAAAGCCTCAGCCATTGACGTCACAGCAGGCCCGCCAGCCTCAGCCATGGACGTCACAGCAGGGCCGCCTGCTTCCGAGGACGTCGCAGCAGGGTTGCCTGCCTCCGAGGACGTCGCAGCAGGGTTGCCTGCCTCCGAGGACGTCGCTGCAGGGCCGCCTGCCTCCGAGGACGTCGCAGCGTCCCAGCCTGCCTCCGTGGACGTCGCAGCGTCCCAGCCTGCCTCCGTGGACGTCGCAGCGTCCCAGCCTGCCTCCGTGGACGTCGCAGCGTCCCAGCCTGCCTCCGTGGACGTCGCAGCGTCCCAGCCTGCCTCCGTGGACGTCGCAGCGTCCCAGCCTGCCTCCGTGGACGTCGCAGCAGGCCCGCCTGCCTCCGAGGACGTCGCTGCGGCCCAGCCTGCCGCCGAGGACGTCGCAGCAGGCCCGCCTGCCTCCGAGGACGTCGCTGCGGCCCAGCCTGCCGCCGAGGACGTCGCAGCAGGCCCGCCTGCCTCCGAGGACGTCGCTGCGGCCCAGCCTGCTGCCGAGGACGTTGCTTCCGAGTTCTCTGACCTGCTGGTAGCCTCTACATCCCCAGACCTGCCCATGGCCTCAGCGTCACCAGTCCCAGTTCCTGCTCCCTGGGCCACTCCTGCTTCTGCACCCTGGGATGCCACAGTTTCTGCTCCTGCACCCTGGGCCACTCCTTTTCTCATTTCCTGTCCTGGTTCGGTGCCGGCCTCTCAGCATTATGCTCTGCCGCCAACCTCCCAGCGACCCCCTCCTATGCCAATCTTTCAGCGTCCAGTGACGGCCTTCCAGTGTCCTGCTTCAGTGCCGACTTTCCAGTTCCCTGCTCAGTCTGCCACCCAGTTCCTTCGCCTGCATGAACTTAATTCTATGTATTCCCCCAAGTCTCTAGTCCATAGTTTTGTTTTTGTCCCTGTAACCATGTATATATCTGTACCCGTCTCAATCAGTGTTCCTGTTTCTGTGTTTGGTCTTATTGTACCTGTTCCTGTCCATCTTTCTGTCCCTGTCCCAGTTACCATGTCTGTTCCTGTCCCCATGTCTATGTTAAGTCCGTCTCCTGTTCTCTCTCCACTTTGTCTTCAGTCTCGTCTCCTGTCCAGTCTACTATCCTGTCTCCTACCCAGTCCCTCCTCCTAACCGGCTCCCACTTTGGATGGCCTTTGTTTTTCGCGCCTCGGGAGCTGCGCGTTAGGAGGGGGGTTCTGTCACGGATTCTCCCTTTGTCCCTCTGAGTGTCTGTTTCTTCACTTCTGTTGTAGCCATGTGCCTTTTGTTTTCTTTTACCATGTGCTTTTGTTGTTGTTCTGTGTCTCCTCCCTGGTCCTGCCCCCTTGTTATCTGTTCCACCTGTCTGTGCTCCGCCCCTCATTAGTCCCAGGTGTGTCTCATTTCCCCTCTGTGTATTTATACCCCTGTGTTTGTTCAGTCTTCGTCTTGCATTGTGGATGTAACCTTGTCTCTTGTTAGCTTGTCGTGCTTGTAGTTTGGTTTTGTTTTGTTTTCATTATGGAGTCTCATTTCAATAAAAACTCGCATTTGCATCCCGCCTCCATGCCTCAAACGTTACAATCAGATCATTTTTGGCAGATTTCTGAGTTTTTAACATTAAAACCATTGAATCTTTCCTCTGTATGATGCCTGCTTAATTTTCCCTGTAAACCTGTTTACTGGTATCCTAACTGAACTATGAGGTGCAGCCCAGAGGAGGATGGGTTCTCTTTTAGAGCCTTGGTTCCTCTCAGTGTTTTGTTCTTTTGCTCCCAGTGAGTTTCTCCTGCTACTGTCACCCTTGGCTTACACTTTAGCTCAGTTGACAAGACTTCTTAATTGGGGAGAACCATCAGGGTGGCCTTTAATAGGAAAACAAAGGCATGAGAATAAAACAAAACTTTTAACCTTTCAAAACTTTTAGAATCAGCAATGTTAAGAACTACTTCATTCATAAAAATAATTTTAACTGAACTGAGCAGTTTATGTTGGAGCTTTAGATTTTTTTTCTTTATTTGGTTTTAAGGTATTCAAATATTCTCTTTAAGATTTCAGTGGCATAGTTAGATGGCCTTAAACTGAACATGTTCAATTTCTATTTTAAGAGTTTAGAAGAAATCAGTGAAGTTACATATTTTAGCAGAATCAAACAACATAAGACCATCTGTCAGCCTACGGTTTATGTAAAATATTCCATTATATATATTCCATATATAATATTTCAAATGTTATTTAATGCTGAATCAACTTCCAGAAAATGATTAAACCAGTAATGACCAGGGTTGAGTTACCTGAAAGCTTCTTGGCACAAAGATGATTCTTATATGGTGGAGCGAGCATCATACTAAAATAAACACATTGTTAATTACTGGCATTGTGGACCTTTTCATTGTTGAACTTACCTCTGATTCTGTTCACGGAACTGCTTCAAATTGAACTGCCTCATACCTAAAGATACAGTTATATATAGCAGTTATATTATTCACGGAAAGTTGAGAATGATTAATTTTGAAAATCTATTTTTGATGTCTTTAAGGATGTGAGAGTGAGAATGGCAAAACAGTTTCTCCACTTAAATGAGAATAAAGCAGATGTTATCATATTAGGTTCATCTGATTATGTTAGACACACAGCTAACTAACATTTATTTTTTCTTTTTACTTAATTGTCAATATGCTTTAAAAAAAACTGTGGTCAGCATTCAATGTTTTCCAATTTGCTTTATAAAAAAACTTCAAAATTAGAGTATTAGTGGTTGGTATAGTGTAGTGGATAACACTTCTTTCTTCCATGCTGTAGACTGGAGTTTGACCCCTCACCTGGACAAACGCTTTACCAATAAGAGTCTTTAGGTAAGACTCCTAACACCACCTTCACCTACCTGTGTAAAATGATCAATTTCTAAGTTGCTCAGGATAAGAGTGTCTGCTGAATTAAATACACACTTTGAAGCAAAAATATGTAAGATTTTAACCACAATAAGTGGTTATTGATAATATAAAGAAGTTTAAATTAGACATGGACGTTTCCTTTATCTGAAGAAAAACAAAGAAAGAAACTAAAAACAAACATGCAAATCAAAAATAACAATAACACTGTGTGGTTCAGTAGCTGCAGCTGCAGCAGTGCAGTTTCTCTGCGTCTGACTGAGGGAGGTTTTTGTACGACTCTTTTTCACTGTGTGGACACTCCACTAAAATGATAGTAACCCATACAGTAATACTCTCCTGCATCTTCCGGCCGGACTCCACTGATGGTCATCGTAAAGGTGTATCCAGAATTTGTTCCACTGAATCGCTCTGGAGCTCCATAACTTCTATAACTTGATGTGTAAATCAGCAGTTTAGGAGCTGCTCCAGGTTTCAACTGGTACCAACTCATGTCATAATCAATCCCACGACTCGCAACACAGCTGAAGGTGACGGACTGTCCTGCTTCAACAGAACTTCTCTCAGGAGTCTGGACCTCTTGGTGGGACACTGAAGGAATGAGAACAAACACAAACTAAGAGAATGAATAAAACCTCCAAAACTGTAGGAGAACACTGTCAGTGTGGAAAGTGCAGGTTACCAGACTCAGCACTTCACCAGACTGTAGAAATAAATAAAGTCTGACCTTGAGGAAAGAAGCCCAGTGTGGTCAGCAGGAGGATCAGAGTGGTCATCATTGTGCTGTGAGGGGCTCTGAAAGGACTGAAGTCTCCAGTGATGAACTCACCGCTCTTAAAGAGTGTGGAGCTGTGAGCATGCAAAACCTCTCTTCTACTGACTGACCTTACTGTCCTTCATCTGCTCTCACCCAGAGACTCCTTCATATCCACACACATTTAGTCCATTATAGAAATCTACAGATTTTACTGACCTTTAAAATGGATCAAACCTGTTTTCTCAAAAGTGCTGCAGCACAAAGATCAACATTAGAACGAGAACTGTGGGACTTTGAGCTTTCATTTCTGATATTTCTGTGTTTTGATTCTTTTTTAAAGTGTTTTAACTGTTTATTCACTTTGAAATGTTTCATCTTCAAATTTCTTAATTTTCCATAAATGAACAGTTTCTCTCATCATCAGGAAAACATTTAGAAATGTTCAGAATCTGTCGCTCCTCCAGGAACCGGCGATATACTGTGATCAGTTTGATCGTCCCTCCAGAGTTTAGCTCAGCTATTTTTAGATGGTCAGTTAATAAGATTAACTCACTGCAGTGGACTTTTGATGGAGGACCCAGACCGAATGTTGGACGTAAGTGCAGAGTCAGACTGTAAGAGTGATTATTTGATCTCCTGAACTGAACGACTGAGGAAATCCTGCTGATCAAGAGAGCAGAAAAAGGTCTGCGTTCTGCAGGAAAGAGATTCAACATCACTACAGTCAGAAATTAATGTAGATAATAAACTGAACAGTAAACTATGAGCTGGAACCATCATCTGTAGTGAGTGTGATCTGTGCTCCTGTAAACTGCTGTAGATGATGGAGATCCTGTAGAAGGTTTGGGTTTCTCTGAGTTAAACAGTGCAGTTTCAGTGCAGGAGGTTTTTGTACAGACACTCAGTGAGTTTCTATCACTGTGGTACGTTTTCGGTGGAGGAACTAAACTCTCTGTTGGACGTAAGTAATTTTTATTCACTTTATAATAAAAAATTTAGTTCAGGATCCTAAAATAAATATAGAAATATCAAAAAAATAATAAAAATATGAAAATGTAATTTGTTTCTTTAATAAAATACAATTTAAAATAATATTACCTTGTATGTTTAAATCATTCTTTTAGTTTAGCCCCTTTAATGCATTTCTATTAGAATGCCCTTAGTCAATTTTCTGTAATTTATTTTATTCATAAAAATCATGATTTAGTTTTAAATAATTGAAGTGTGGATATATTTGATGCCAGAGTATTGTTTTAGAATATTCTCTAAATAAGAAACTTTTTGCATGTTCATATTGTTGTAAATATATTCTCTAAATATTTTCTGAATATTTCTCATCATTTACATTTTTTCTGTTATGGAAATTAAACTATTTCCACTGTTTTAACATTATAAAATGGCTCATTTTGTAGTTTTTACACTGTAAAAAGTGAAACAGGGCAGCAGTTGATTTGATTTGCGGTGAAATATCACTTTCAATCTAAACTTAAATTTTGCTTTGCATAGTTTTGCAGTTCTGCTCAATGTAAAAGTTAAAATGTTGCCACGTTACGTAATTTTTAAGGTTGAATTTAGAAAAGTGTTTATTACAGTGTAGTTATTTATTACAGTCTAATTATTGTTCTCGTTCCTGTAATTAATAATATTCTTGCTTCACTCTATTCTTTATGAACACACTGTCTGTTAAATAAAAATAAGAGTTACTATTTTAGAGATACTAATTTAATTATTTTTTAATTATTAAAATATTATTAATCCCAGTAGTTATTTTAAATAATGAAATTAGTTTTAATGAGCTGCTGCTTTTCTAACAGAACTGTTCTGTTTATGTTTATGAACATAAAGTCTGTTAAAGGAAGTGAAAGAACGACTGACAGAACCGAATATGACTATTTCAGAGAACAGAAACTTCTGCATTTTTCCACAACAGTTACACTGATATTAATGTTCAGTGAGCAGATAAACTGAACTCTACATTTGAAAGACAATTAAAACCTAAAATGGACAAAATTAAAACATTCAGAACTAAAAACTATTCAGTGTTGAAATTCTGCAGGACAGCATGAATTAAAGCTTTTACTCCAAACTTTTCATGGAAATCCATGATATGATGTTGTGGCTCGACAGTGATCCTCTGTTATTCATCTCTCTCTCTCTCTCTCTCTCTGGTGTGTCCAGGTGTCACTCGGCCCTCCCTCTCTCTGCTGCCCCCCTCCAGTGAGGAGCTCCGGCAGGGGAAGGCTACACTGCTGTGTTTGGTCAGTAAGGGCTTTCCCTCAGACTGGACGCTGAGCTGGAAGGTGGACGGTAGCAGGTGGAGCTCAGGTGTGGTGGTCAGCCCCGGCGTGCTGCAGCAGGAAATCTGTACAGCTGGAGCAGCACGCTGACCCTCACTGAGGACCAGTGGAGGAAGACGAGGGCAGTGAGCTGTGAGATCAGTCACGGCTCCAGCACAGCAGTGATGAAGAGTCTGAACACACAGCAGTGTATCGAGAACTAACACACACACACACACACACACACACACACACACACTCTCTCACACACACACACACACACACACACACACACTCTCTCCATCAGTCTGCAGTGTGTACGAGTGTTTCTGCTGACATCAGCTCCTACATCATCTTACAGCTCCATCTCAGATCTTCTCATCCTCAACTTCACTTCCATTCACTGCTTTAATCACATCTGCAAAATAAAACCTTTTACAAACTTCACTGTTTGAGTTTGATCTGGAATTATTTACACAACATACGATTGTCCACAAGGGGGTGTTAACCAAGTACCCTGATCCAGACTGAGAATTAAATTAACTCTTTTGTGATCAAGAGTTTTTATTGTTTCACAAGACAATAAACAACAGGGGGACAGGGTGCAACACAGCCAGAACAAAAATAAAAAGTAAAAGTGATCACAGGTACAATCATCATCAGACAAAATTAAATAAAGGAGGAAGTGTCCGTGTTCAATGCATACATGGAGGAAATCCAAAATACATAACACAAAAGTTTGCCATGTTTCAGCAGTCATGGGCTTAGCATGCTTAAGTCGTACAGAATTATATTCAAGTCTTTCTATGTTAAGTAAATGAACAGTCCAAAATAATTCCAAGTGAAGTCCAGGTGTGTAACCTGTATAACCTGGAATTAAGTTAACTCTTAAAATATGTAATGTACACAGGACTGTCCACGAGGGGGCGCCAAACGAGAACCATGTCTCAGAATTAATTTACCTCATAAGATATATAATGTATGCAGAGCCATCCACAAGGATTCGTCAACCTGGTACACTGAACCAGACTCAGAATTAAGTTAACTCTCAAAATATTTAACATTTCCCGAGGGTTTCTGGGAAATGGAGTTTCCTGAACTTGTTGCGCCTCACCATCGTCACCCTCTGCTGACCAGTGAAACAGCCTGGGCCCTTACAACTTTTGCAGGGCCAGGTATGATCTCGTAATGACAACCATGCAAACTTTTGTCTAAAAGTAGACTTATTGCTGTGGGGAGAGTCTGAGTGAAATTTCTAAACCGATCACATTAAGTATGTCAGTTTTATAGCACATTATACTTTATCTTTAGAAGACACCACTGTGATAAAAGTTAACAGCAGGTTACCAGCAACTGTATGTGGCCTCTGCTGTTCACAGTTACAATAATACAGCCAGAATAAATGTGATATAGAAGAATTAGCAGCTATGTTTGAGAAAAGATGAGCTACTGAATTTGAATTCTAACTAAAGAGATCAGACAAATTTGGGGGTGAAGTGGATGAACCCTTCTTACCGCAATCCAGCAGGTTATCCCCAGAGGTGTGTTCTCTTTACAAGATCATGTCTAGCCCTGCAAGGCAAGATGAAGCCTAGAAAATAGGCATATGACAATTTCACAGCTGTCCAACATCTGCATGTTACCAAAAAAAAAAAAATCATTATTACACATGATGATACACAGGGCAGTCATATAAGGATCTGGTCTTGGCAAGAAGTCCTTAGATAATTTTCAGTATCTATGGACCAAAACTTAAGGATGTTCTTAAGGGGTGTCACTGCTGTAAAATAAATGTGGTTGATGTGGCCCAACAGAGAAGTTTATGGGGGAGACTTTTGAGCTTAGCCTGCAGTAGAGAGGCCTGAAAAGATGTGGTGTCCAGAAGGATGGCATCAGGTTTTCAGAGGGAGACGTAGCATCCAAAGTGGTAGACCATGCAGGGGAACGGAGGGACAAAGTGCGACAGGAGTTTGGAGGTGAAGAGGAGCAGTTCATGCTAATGATGCAAATGCTGTTGTCAAGGGTAGAGATACAGGTTTAGTGCACAGGGGTGGAAGACAGTCAGACAATGAAACGACACTTAGCCTGCAGAAAAAATGTTTGAACATAGTCAGTGTTTAGGAGAACAGTGAAGAAATCCAGTGAAGTAGAGGGGCCAGTCACCTGCTGGACTAGGGGCTAATTAGAGGACTGAGAAAAAAGGGGCGATAAAGACATAAACATGTGGAGTGAGTTGACACAAAGCGCTAAATGCCTCATGAGAATGTTACAACGAACATAAAACAAAAGAGCAAGCTCTGGAACCAAAAGAACCCTGCACATATAAGGCTTGGGTACTCCAGTGAGAGAGTGATCTAGCAGCTCCAATGATGGAACAAGCAGCAGCAGAAGAAGGTTAGCACACAGATGAGAGATTCAAGTCTGTGTATTGGATGGTCTGTGTATGCAGGCCTGAAGGGTCAGGAAGAGGTAGAAAGAACTGGGCGTTGGCAAGAGGAATGACTTTGAGTGAAAGGATCTGACTGGGCAGGCAGCTGGAATGGAGTGATAGGATGAAAGTTAGAGGGATTTTAATTAAGATAGAGAGGTAGGATGAAGGGAGGCTGAGAATAAGAAAGGAAAATGCCAGAATGATACACTGATGCACTGGTAGAAAAGGGTAAAGACATGAGAGTCTGGGGATGAATCTGATTACAACAGCACCAGTCAGAGTAGCAGAGGAGTGAGAAGGAGCCTCAGTGTGGATGTCAGGTGGACTGATTCAGCAGAAGGTGCAGGCAGATTGTTGAGGAGAATTCAGGAGTGATGTCGATTTCTATAGTGAGAGGAGAATGAAGAAGAGCTGAGTGGAACATTACATGGGCAGTACTGGTGCCTCATAGCTGGAGCAAAATCTTTGTCATAGGAAGCTAGAAACTCAGGTGGATATTTTTGTTATGTTAGACAGAAGTAGGAGGAGCTTCAGGCAAAGTACTCTTCCCAAACTTTACTTCTTTTATAACTCGAT